GAGAATTACCAACCCAGCTGGCATCCAAAGAATTTATTTATATCAAAGATGCATAACTGAGACTGATCCTGTTTTAAATGGTCTTGCTTTTTCAAGTTTTCAACTATAAATATTTTAATTTGTTTTTAAATATTGGAATGGATCTAAATCAGGGATGGGCAGTTGGTGGTACTTGGCCAAATTTTATGTGGCTTTGGTTTAATTTCAAAACCCTTATGCAAGAAAACGGTTTAGATTTCTGATAAAAGTTGTTTGTCACTTTCCTGCACTTTAGGAGGGAACACGGTATTAGGAAAAAAGTTTTTTTTTTTTTTTACAAAAGGGGGTCCCAACCCACTTTTGGCTTTAATGTCAGGCATTGCTTGCTTCAGCTCCACCAATCCTGAAGGGTCCATCGTATTTCCCCTGAAGGAATGCAGTCTACAACAGAAAAAACGATGGCCCACCTTGAATCTAAATAATTAACTGACCTCCAAAAGAGCTAAAGGTTGACAAGTTACCACTTGCTTCTGAACCTCACTTAAACAATGGAAAACTGAAATAGAGTGACAGTTTCCCAAAGCTATAGATTTAATAGTTATCTTTCAAAAAGGGTTTTTTTTATCACTGCTTTCTTTAAAACCAAAAGGATTACAGTTTACACCCCTCAATGTACTATTTGTCATGGCTGGCTGCTATAAAGTAAGCAAACTCTATAGCTAAGGCTCTAAGGAGGTTATTGGCCAATATTCTCAACTGCTGACAAAGAATGTGTGGAGAATCTTTACGTATCCAGAAGGGACAGGAATCAAGATTAAGTTTTATAGAAGAATATCCAGAAGGAAGCAGGATGTCTTAATTCTATATATAAGATTGTACCTGAATGCTAAAGTATAAGAGCTAAGAGCCGGCTAGGGAAAACATAGGTAAAGCATCGTAGGCAAGACAGAGCTTAGTGATACTTGGTAAGGGCAGATCATTACAACTGCCTGGTCAGGGGACAGACTGAACTAAATGGGCAGAGCTAAGATCACAACCTCTTATCAAAGCAGAAAATGCCTTTCTAATACCTGATCTGTCATTCATAGGATGCTGAGAGGAAGCTAAACCACTTACATTTTACATTAAATCTTAGTAGCTCTACTCAGTGGGGCAGAAAACCAATTCCATATACACTTCATACTAAGTCATTATGTAGTGTGGTTGGCACTGGCGTGACATGTTGTATGAAGTCAGCCATTGCAGTTGGTAAACCATGCTTATGGTTTTGTGTAAACTTAGTCTGTATGTGCCCACAGGTACTGATCATTCATGTTTCTTTGGAGACAAGCTATAGTCTTAATGCTTTGATCCATATCAGGATAGCAGGTGGGAAATTGAAGTTAATCCCTTTTTCAGGACTGTATTTCCACCCCAAATACACACACATATACTCAGCAGTGATCCTAAGCAACTTAAAAGAAAATGATTTTCAATGAAGAGGAAGGGAGGGAGATTGGTTTCTGCCCCCTGATCCATACTTAGCCTCTCATGGTAAGAAGGTTTTCTTTAAGCATATAAACATAAGAGATGCTCCTTCCTTCCTTCCTTCCCTCCTTCCTCTTATATACTGCTCCATTTCTGGAGACTCTGAGTGGTATACACTATTGACTGATCTTTGCTTTTCATCTTGTGATATTAATATTATTATAATCAATCAACTTGGGGTAGCATGATTTTATTCATCCCCAAATGCCTTTCTGAAGATCCATGTTCTGACAGTTCTCCAAAAATAGGAGGTGGTCTTGGTATCTTTGGTAAACTGTTTCAAAGGGCATATTCCAATATGTGGATGCATTTTACTTGCATGCAAATGTCTAGTTTGACTCTTCTGTACTTATCTCTTTTAAAGAAGAGTATGGCCTGAGATGAGAGTGGGTGTGTTAAATGGGTATGGTTCAAAAAAAGGGGAAAGCTACAAGACCACCAGCAGCACCTATAAGAGGGATTTTAGAACATGCCTTTGCTCCTAAGGAAAAACTTAAATGGAACAGGTTGTTAAAAAAAAGTACAGCGACTAGAGAAATAGAAAACCTGACATCCTGTATTATCCACCCCTTGAGTAGATTTAGCATTTCATTTTTTTTTGCAAGCTCTTCTTTAATTTCTAAGGTCAACTTCATTTTTCAACAGATCTCTTACAGTACTCTGTCCATGTTCCAAATTGCAGCAGAAGAAAATGACTGTTCCTAAACAACATCAGAGCATGCAAAGCCTCAGATCATTGGCTGGCAGCCTGGCTCTTCCCCCTTTTCCTTTGGCTTAACCTCAGCAAGTGGGCTTCGTGTTCTTCAGGTCCTTTATGAAGGACTGGCTGCAGAATAACCTAGACCCTGTCCCTACAGCTCTAGAAGATCCAGGCTGACAATATGGACAATATGTTTAGCTAAGCGTGAACCAGTAACAACATATTGCTTCCACTCAGAGGGAGGTAAAGTTCTTTTCACCTTCCCTTCCTCCCCACTGGTGTGAAAAGCAACAAAGATCTTTGACAGAACCCTTCCTTTGAACACCTCTGGAATATCTCAAACTAAACACTATCTGGATTGGATTTCCAGATGCCTTTTTAAACATTTAAGAATCCCTTAGCTGTCTTATGGCAGCAGCTATGAGGAAAAAATTAACCCTGTGCCCTCTGCATCTTGTTTAAAATGAATGTTCTACACCTGAAGCTACTAGCTCTATCAAGAAAAAGAAGGGGGGGAGGAGGAGGAGGAAGGGGAATAGGAACAGGAATCTGCATTTTTTCCTAATCACTTTTTTAGTGCATGTTTAGTAGTTGGGAGGTGAGAAAAGGAGAGAGTTTCTCCCCACTGTTCTCCTAAAGAAAAAAGGTAAACCTTCTACCTACTATTGCTCCAGTCATATTAGCATCTCTATGGTTAGTTATTATTATGAGAAGGAGTAGAGACCAGGAAATCCAGCTATAAATTATTCATGTGAGCAAAGTTGCTCAGCAATACACTTTCTTTCTAACTTAACTGATGTATAAAGCTATGCTGGGGGCATCTGGGGGGTGGTTAAAAAGAAGCCAAGATAGCGGCCAGGCCATGACTACACAATCAAAGACCTGCCCCTTTTTACATGCATTGCACTTAAACACAGGGTGGAGTTGTGGCCATCATCTTGACTTTCTTAAACCTTCCCCCACAGAAGCCCCTAGGGTGTGTATGCTTGCAAAAAGATTCAGAAGTAGGGCTTCAGAGCACACTTCTCTATGAATGGAAGCCAGAAAAAAATGGGTGGCTTTAACAAGCAGCAGGGAAGTGCTATTCTTACACAACTTCCAAAGCACTTTTTCTGAATAATTTCAACAGTATGCTGGGCCCTAATTAAAATGCTTATTTATTTAATGTGTATATAAAAACATGGATGAACTGAGAATGAATAACCAGCCTGATTTCCAGCACAGAAAAACTTGTGGGATTCCCAGATGATCAAGGGAATATTTTCTCTGAGCTCTGGATCAGGGCGGATAATCTTGATCCAGAAGGATCAAGGTTGAGAGCAATTTTCCCTCAGGGGTAATCTGTTGGGAACTGTGTGACATTCCAAATGATGAAGAAACTGAGGCAAACAATGGCTAGAGCCAAACATGGGCCATCTCTTCCCTTATGCTTTGACACTCTTTTCTTCCTTCCAGGAGTGTCCGCAGGAGGAGAGTAAAAAAAGTCAAGATGGTGGCCGCAACCATGAGATCAAAGCCCCACCCATTTTTACTGGTGTCATAAGGCTTTGAAATGATGTACCCAGAGAGCAAGTTTGGTGTACAGCAGTGGTTAAGACATCAGGCTAGAAACCGCAATATTGTGATTTCTAGTCCCGTCTTAGGCACAAAACCAGCTGGGTGACCTTGGGCCAGTCACTCTCTCTCAGCCCTAAGAAGACCACAATGGCAAACCACTTCTGAAATCTTGCCAAGAAAACTGCAGGGACTTGTCCAGGCAGTCGCCAGGAGTCAAGACTGACTCGAAGGCACAAATATAATATACCCAAGAGCATAGGTTGCAAAGCTCTGCTCTGTTCTGCTCTGGCAAATCCAGACCTGCAAGATCAGAAGTGTGTATATTCAGCATGCATAATCTGGCTGCCTCTTCATCCTATTCACAGTTGCTCAGTTCCTATTCAATTTGTGCATTTTTAGTTTCTAGAACTCAACAGCATCTTCACATCTGTCTTGTTAACACCAAAAAGATTCTGAGTGGAGAATCTGTTATATCTCACTCAAATTATCTAAGATAATTTGCATTAAAATCTGTAACCAATCCACTCATGATGAAACAAAAGTAATGATGGTAGGTTTTTTTCCCCCATTCACTATATGTTTGTAAAGGAAATATGTTTATAGGTAAAATGAGGATTTCCAATTAAGTTAGTGACTTTCATTTCCCATCTCAGCATAACTAGATGAATGACAGGCAGGATAGACTGATATTGCCTACAGTATAGGATTAAAAAAGGACCAATCCCACTTCCTAACCATGGAAAAACATTTTATTTTTTGTTTTTTTTAATTTTAACCTGGCTTTATTATTGCCACCAAGATAAACAGCCTTTACTTTGTTTCAGGACTCCAGGAAAAGCACTGGAAATTCTTGCTCTTTCTGGGCCTGGCACAACCTGGGTAGGTTGACTGGAGTATATCACTCTGCAGTGTGTATTTGTTTTCATCCAGGAAATATTCACAGATGGTCCTTTCTTCTCCCCTGGTCCTAGTCATGAGATTTCAACAACATTGTTTGAAGCTACTTATTGAAGTTACAAGAACTGCTTTGCTTAATGGGAACAACAGCTCATATTGTCCAGCACCTGCTTTCCAACAGCTGCTAAACAAGTGCTTGACAGAAGTCCAACAGCTGGGGTGAAGGCAACAATTCTCTCTGCTCCCTAGCAAACTGCCTCTGCCCATGGAGGCTCGGCTTCTAGCAGCTACTAAAGCAAGGCTGGCAATGTTTTTGATTTTGTAAATTAAATCCACTTACGGCAACGGTAACAACGTTTGGCAGCTAATTCCAAGCAGTGTTTCAAGATCCTCTCCTTCTCCCGCGGCCGAGATTCGACTGCCAGTGTCAATGACCAGCGGGGCGACTTCCAGCCACCGAGGGCGCGCGGGATTTCCGGGAACCGGAATGCAGCTGCGGGCAGCCCACTAGGCAGGCGAGATCCCAACCGATTCAGGCTTTCAAGCGGCTTGTCTGATCCAAATGCATGAATTACCGGCATGGCCGATTTTTATAAAATGAATTAGTGTAAATTCTAAATTAAGCAGTCGGACTTATTTCCAAGTAAGTACATTTTAGGAGCGTCTCCCTAGGCTCTTCGATCGGACTGAACCGGGAGAGAGAGTGCCTCAGACGGAAAACAACGGGGCAAGATTCGTCCGTTTGAACCGGCTGGAGCCCAGATTAATACAGATTTTAGTTCAGTTTAAGCAGCGCAAAGGAGGGCGGGCGAGAAATGAAAGCAAAACTTACCGGCTGCTTCTTAGCACACGGTCAGCTGCGTCTCCATTTCCCCAGCCGGCTAAGAAGTTCCCAATCTTCCGGCGAAAAAGCGGGGAGGGAAAGCACAGGACGGCCACGGGAGCCTCCGCATTTCCGCGGGCTGTCAGCCGCCTGGGCCTCCACGCCCCTTTCCTCGGCTGTACCTGGGCGGGACCGCGGCTCCTGGGGCGACGCTTTCTCTCCTGCCCGGTCTGGGACCCGTCTCCGAGCAGACCAGCGCCTGCCTCGCGCCTCGCGCCGGGTAGCGCGGAAATGGGTAGCCCTTTCAGCGGAGCAGGATGACAACTTCGTGTGCCCGCAGTCTGCCCTGGCCTCCCGGCACCCCTTTCCCCATTACCACACCGTCCCACTCAGCGCTCCAGTTAGGAAGCGAAAGGCAAGACTCTTATACCCCTCTTTAGCCTTGTGAAACATAAGGCATAAAGGAGCGCGTCACAAAACTAAAGGCATCCCCCTTCCCCCATTGAAACAACCCTCATAAAGGAGTGACTTGGAGAAATGGAGTGAGGATTAAGTTTGTGTTTAGACTCATCCATATAGGACACCTTGAGTTTACAAACTTTACAATTGTGTGTGTGTGCAGTAATGTAGGAGTTGTAGAACCGTGGTTCATCCACTGTGACCCCACCTAAAAGGACAGGGTTCTTGGGTTTATAATTGTTGTTGTTGTTGTTTAGTCGTTAAGTCGTGTCCGACTCTTCGTGACCCCATGAACCATATTGCGCCAGGCCTTCCTGTCCTTCACTGCCTCCCTGAG